GGGGGGTTCTTCAAACTTTTTTTGGCTACCGGCACGCCGTCTGTAGACACAGACCATGTGCACCCGAACCCTCATGCCCTCATGCTTGAGCATCAGCAAGGGACGGAAGGAAGAGGCCTCCACAGAGAAAAGCTGTACAGCCCACTGTACAGAATGTCTCTCACTAACCTCCGGTTGCTCCAGCCAGGCAAAGCAAGTCAGAGGCTTACCGCCATCGCCGCCGCACCCGCAGACATGCATTCCCAAATGCAGTCCAGGGGAGGGCAGGTCAAGGAGGCGCCAAAGACAGTCTTCGCCTGGGGGAGCAGCCACTAGCTGAGGGTCCCGCTCGCATTCGCATCGGCAAGCTCGTCCTCGTTGTCGTTCTCTAAAATCCTCACAGTACGTCCGGCAGCAAGAGCAGCCTGTACAGCTTCGAGACTGACCCCGCGAGCCCGTTCGGGGTTGTCTGGCACAGGATCCGGAGGCCTTGTACTCCCCCCAAAGGGTTCCAAGGCACGTCGACGGTTGACCCTGTCGCTTAGGGTCGGGCTTGGGCCATATCCGGCTGGATCTCCTTCGAGCACTGGTCCGGCATGCGTCTCCACAGGGCCAGGAGGGGCTGCAGGAGCGGGCACCACCAAACCAGGAGCTGGTCCTGTGCCAGACCAGGGGCAACCGGGTTCTGCCCCGGATGGGGACTTGCAACCAGGCCAGGAGGGGCATGGAAAGGAGATGCCATGCCCAAGTACGGGCCCGCAGTAGCCGGCGGTGTGACAGTCCCTCCAGGTGTCGACCCGGGCTGCGGTGTTCTCGGGGCTGCATTGGTGCGGACAGGTGAGGTGAAGCTCCCGGGTGGCAAAGCATGCCCAGTAGCTGGGGCGAGAGCTCGGCGAAGGACGCCATCCATAGTTGTCCTCCCTTGCCCACTCTTCGAAAATGCGGTCGCAAGAGTCGTTCCTGATCTTTGGCAAAGCGAGCTCGCTCCCGACGTAGGGCCTCTTTCAGCTTTTGCTCGTATGCAGCCATCTTTACACTCAAGTCCTGATAGGCTGCCCTCAAGCGGCAGACCTTCGTCTCGGCCTTGCGGGTGGCGTTGAGAGCATGCTGAATAGAGTTGGTGTTCATTACCCCAGTCGCATCTGTGGCTCCACTCGCCGTACCAGGAGGGGCAGCTCGTTCCTGCGGGAGCTGTATCGAGGAGTACGACGGGAAATCTTGCTGACCCCGGCCATCTCCTTTCCAGGGTGGTCGTCGATCCTTGTTGGCCGGACCCTGGGGGGAATAGGCACCAGGCCACACACGAAGCCCATTTCCACCACCAGACCATGGCTGCTGTCCCGTATTGCGGCCTCCTCGTCCCATGTAGGGTCTCAAAAGAGAGGCCCTCGTGTGAGGAGCTGTGCCGTGGTGTCTCGCCAGACCAAGAAGGTGGTATAGGCCTGGGTGTCGGCCTTCTCGAAGGCAGCGCCTGGTCTTAGACCTTTTAAGGCGCAAACGCCGATGCCAACTAGGAGAGGCAACGATGGCTCAGTCCTAGCAGAACGCACCTCAATTGGGTGCTGGGGCTTCAGCAATCGCCTCCTCGCGGCGTGTTCTGAGCCCTATACATACATACATACATACATACATACATACATACATATAAATATATACATATGTGGACCTAGTCTAGACAAGCATAGGCATCCTTAGAGTGCAGAAACACCCGGCGAAAACTGACTTCACAAAGCAATCAAGTCTGGCTCTAGGGCTGCATACGTGTGTACTGTTGGATCACTTTATCTGTACATCTGCACCTAAATGTATGACTGAAATTTTCAATTCAGGAATTGATGATTATGAACATATATATATAACACAATATGCTTTTCTTCTACATGTGTGTGTGTGCAGGCCTGGACAACAACATATTGTACATTGACCAGCCTTGTGTTCCGACAATTCCATGTTCTGCCTTTTGCCGATGATGTGGGCATGTTTTGGTGCCTGCTGAACGATTTGCGCTCATATGAGCAGCCGAGGAAATCGCCTTGAAGATCGTTGCGTTCGGAGCGCGTGAATTCTTCCGTGGAAAGGACCGCTACTGGAATGTGTTCGACTTCGTCATCGTTTCAGTGTGGCATGCTTGCATGATTGCATGGTCCAAATCCAACTTTGGACTGCAGCGGAAGAACAGCAGCCCCCTCCCCTGCAATCGTAACACGAACGGGAGACGTGAACCCGTGTGACTCTGCATCCAGTCAAGCTTCAGAAACTGACATGTCAAGCCTTGTCTCAGATAAAGGTCAATCGGTGAGACGCTGATCGAGATGCTGATTCTCACGTCCTCGCGCCTTAGATGGCATGATGTCAAGAACTGCAGCGGTCATGCAGTAGTGGTTGAAATCGTCGTGCAAGTTGTGATACCTGTTATCTGCAGAATGAGCAGGTGTAGTGATTCGTGGTAAACGCTCTATATACTTCACCACCACCATCATCATGGCTATCAGCATTACCGTCATCATCAGCCATGATCCTCTTTTCATCTACAGCGGCCAAGCATGATGCATCACAAGCATACATGCTTGCTAGTCACTCCACTGAATACAGAATATGTGTAGAAATTGGGTCACGCGGCTACGGAACACACGTGCTCCTGCAGAGTTGCATGGGAAACTCTGTAAACATTGTCTGAGGAGCGTGGACTCTGCACATTTGCGAGTGCTTCGTTTCTTACGGGTAGCCCGAGCATTGCGCAGCATACGCGTGATGCGGCTGGTTCACTACATCGGTGCTTTGCGGACTCTGGTGCACCTAGTCTTCACAGCACGTGTTGTTCTTCCGGAGTGTTATACGTATTTTGCAAGAAAATGCTCTAGACGGTTCGTCTCAGCTCAGGTTCTCAATCGTGAGCACAATGGGCAGCCTTTTATGGACTATGCTACTGCTGGCCTCTGTGCAGCAAAAGTTACAGAGCGGAAAGCACATTTTTGTCAAGTTCCTGTTCAATCTCTTACATCAGAGAAGCTACAGATGCTGAGCCATCTTTTGCCACTCCGTCTGGCAGGTCATGATCTTTTACTTGTCCCTTGGCATAGCTTCAGAAAGTGTTGCGACTGGGGCTGCTGGAAGTCTTCCAGTCGTGATGTCGGCACGACTATTGCCGATCTGCATGCAGACATAAAAGTTATACCTCCACATACATACATGCACGCGTGGATGCATGCATGCATACGTATACATATATATATAGATAGATAGATAGATAGATAGATAGATAGATACACACACACATACATATACGTGCGTTTATTTACATATACCGATGTGGATATGGCCCATGTCTCTAGAGCAACCGCTCAGGTTTGGTGTAATCCTGGCACAGATTGCCACAGACAATTGCCGTACGCTGCAGCAAACCGCCACGGGCGACATCAACGCCGTACCGGTGTGCGAAGGCGCTCTCTACGTGCGCCTTCGCTGAATTCCTCAGTGACTCAGTCTGGACCTTCCAACTTCGTCTACCCAAGACACCCACAGCGCATTGAAACAATCCTGTCCGGCCAGCTGGCTGGGACCGATGTTGTCAATAGGGTTCGTATCATCTACGGGCATCGTAAACTCGAACGGAAGTTTGCAATCAGCACGTTTGCTGCAATGCCCTCCCTCGCCCCATCGAAATCGTTCAACCTTGAGGCACTGGAGGACCGTGCCGGTGAGCATGCTGACACTCTTCATGGCTGTTGCTCGGTCTGGTATGCAGGAACACAGGAACTGACTGTGCAGCATTGCAGAATGTTGCCCATCCAATTCAAAACTGATTCAGGTTAGTGGCGGACTGAGCTGGACCGAGGCCGGCATAGTGCCATGCGCAGTAATATGCCGTTTCCCCTCGATTGCAAGTTGGACCAAAGGACTTCGGTGCCCACGATAGTCAGAGGAACCTTGCGCAAGCTCAAGCCATAACACCCTAAAGGCCCCAAACCGAAGGCTTCGGATGAAGAGGTCTCTGCTTGAGGCTTCCGAAGCTGACAAAATCCAAAAACGATAAAGGACTGCAACAAGCATCACATACTGTAGTAGACTAATAGATACTAATAGTAAACTATGAGCTACTAGACTTTAGCATAGTAAGCTATGGTATATACCATGGTACAGTATAGCTCCTCTGTCTCCATGTAGAGGCGCTGCAGCCCTTGCAACAGTTCTCGCCCTTCGGAGTCGCATGCGGCTTGTCGCAGTCATTGGGGGGGACTGGAGAAGAGAGACCTCTGGAGAGCTCACCTTTGGGTCCCCTTAAAGGAATCGATAAGGGGTTCTATCGGGCTTCTATAAGGGTACTGTCAGGGATCTATATGGGTGGTTCTTTGAATTAAGGTCCGTTTTAGGGTCCTTTTTGCAAGAGTGCCGTACTATTTTGGGGAGCTAAACGGGGACCCTAATTTAGAGAACTACCCATATATTTATATCAGGGTATGTTAGTATGCTATAGGATTGTTTAGTATAGCGCGCAGTTTAGCATATATATATGTTTGATATATCTTGTTATGGTATAGGATAGTATAGTATAGTGTTGCTTGCATGGCACGTGATATCCATTAAATTCGGACCAGGCTCGCGTCTCGAAGTGAAGAATCTGAGAGCTGAGGTGTGATCATATACATCGTAACTTGGCTCTCTTTTGCTTGGCTTTTCGGACTTGAACTTTTAGATTTCTTCATTAGTTACGAAACGGAGGCTATAAGTTTAACTTATAAGCTTTTAGGAGGGGTTCAGACGTCAGCCCAGGTAATCACGGTTTTCGCGGTCCTCAATGTCGTGACAGGCAGGGCCCGGGTAAGGTGTTTCGCAAACAGGGACTGAACCTTCTGGCACTGCAGGCTGCGGTTTAGGGTTTAGGGGCTTCGATCAAGAAACAGCTAGTGCTCGTGATCGTTATACTATTTGCTGCGATGCCGATCTGCATGATGATGTGACACTTGCCTGAAGGCGTGTTCTGCAACACCGCAATTGCCGCTCTGCCGCATGTATTGCTAACTCGTGTGTACGAGCTGTGCACCAAGAGCTTCTTTTCCCCAGGTTTCAGGTTCGCGGGCAGCTGTGGCATGCGGAAACAAGAGGTATTATCCACGCCCGCAGCAACGTAGTCACTGCCCTTATTTGCCATGGCTCCATCCATTGCCAGGATGCGAAAGTGTCAGCCTCCGGTTCCCAGTGACGAAAGCCAGTCCAAGTAGAAATTCGGCAGGGCGGCGGTGAGACTTGTCGCTGAGGAGAGTGCTCACGCGGACAAAGATATCGCGATCATGAAGCAGATGAACAAGAGAAATGCACAGGCAAGAATCCAGAGTGTTAGGCAGGCTTTCGAGTTGCAACATGATAACACTGCCAACTTCCCGAACGCTTTGTCTTTGATGGCCTGCCCCATAGTTTACTTGCCCGATCAAGCGCTTTGGCTGCAGATCGAAGCACTGCGGCATGTCTTTGGAGAGATCGACCGAGACCGTTCGAACAAGGCAGCGCAGTGCATCTCGCAACTATAGGTCGCGGGGGAATGGGCATATTTTCCAGGTGTTTGGAAGTCTCGGCATCAACACGTTTCATGGCAGTCCGGATGAGCCGCCTTCATGATGTAGACATGTGACTGGATCCAGGTCAGCATTCAGGAGCTCAAGGACGGGTTGAAACTGCCATAAACTGGGTCATAAACTGACCCGTCGCGTTCGTTTGGAGACTATGCCCGATGAACTGTAGTTGCCCAGGGCCTTCTCTGAAGTGCCTGGACTTGGTCAGGACGCGATGGACACTCAAAAGCTGTCCAGTTTCATGGAATCTCTCGGCATCTCAACAGAGGACTCCACGGCCGAGATCCGGAGACGGTACATGATTCTAGAATATTATAGAGAAAGGCTACTGCACGGGTCAGTTTCTGGTTGGTGGTTCCCGGCTTAAGCTGGAAAACTCGCAAACGCCCTTCATGAAAGTCATCTGCGAAGGACTCGGACCCTAAACCCTAAACTTTCCTAAACTGCAGTGGCGGTTGAATCATGGGAGACTTCTGCACCAAAGAATACCGAAGACATGGTTCTGCATCGTAGACGGGAGCAAGCCTGCCGCTAATTCTGGAATGTTCGTTGTGGTCTACAAACTAAGGGACTCAACATGAGAATTAAATGGCTGATGTTTCGATTTTGTGGTAGACGAGAGAGCTGTAGATATAAATCGAGAGTGAGACACAACCTTCCTATGGGTCACAGACTCGCTTCATGCGGCAGATCGGGAGTGGCATCAGCCTCATTTCTTCTGCCTTCGAGCCGTGCACATGGGTGGTGTTCCGTTCAGTCTCATGCAAGGGCAAGCATTAGCACAACAAAAGAATGGTGTTACAAGTCTGCAGAACGAAGCCTCCAGGACGTTTGGACACTATTCATGGTCATCGACTCTGACGCAGCTTAGCCGCAACAGCCCTCAGACCACCTGCTCCAAAGTGGCAATGCTTATCAACTGCTCGTTGAAGTCCAGACATTGTGGAGCCCGCTCGGGCAGGCATGCCTGAAAATGATAGCTGACTCACCTCGCAATGACATGCAGGGGTGGTAATCTGGACATGCGAGAAGTGGAGCCACCGCATTATCCCTGTGAGTATTCCCTCGTTTCAGCTGGAAGAGATTGCAACAGCACTTGTTACGATAGCTCGATGCTGTGCGGCTGCTGTTGCAGAAGCCTGTTGAGGAAAGCGGTGAGATCACCCTCGACGAATTCGTTGGTGGCTGCGCTTTGGATTGCATCAGCTGCTGCGGCCAAAGCAAGCCACGCTTGAGCCATTTAGGTCCAAATTTAGGTCCATCTTGTTTGGAGCAAGCCGGCTCCTGCCACAACATCCTGAAGCCGGACCCAGTCCCGTTGTACATCATGTCCTTTTGGTAGGTGAGTGATTGGATCCGAGTCAGAGCTGTGCATTTGTTGATTTGGGTTCCTCATGTTCCCACCTGCCTCCTCGGTTTAGATACAGCGCAGATTCACAGCTACATGATGCTGCATCCCGGAAAAGGATGGCATTCAACAACGAAGTTCGCACACACACACACACACAAGGATATCGAAACCTGAGACCGTGAGCGGCACATCGCCCACAAGCAGCCCAGGCATGACGCTCAATGGGCCTGCGCGGAGTCTTCATCTTGCACGCATGAGCCACGAAAACAAGGCTCGGAAGCTTCTGGAAGTACTATGTTCAAGACTGCACCACGGTAACTGAGCAACAGACAACTTAGTGCCAGTCGCCTTACATTGAGCCACATGCCAGTGTCCCGCAATTCCCTACCATGAGAAATCTCACAAACTAGCTTGCCCAAGTTAACAATCTATAAACGATCCCTGACCATACTTTGTAACTTTGTGGTGCGAGGTGTTGGATCATGTCTCGCCCGATCTTCTATCCTATTTTGCTATCGATCCTGTACTGTATACTCTGCTAGAAAAAGTTGTGCCCCGCAAGCCCAACGCATTGCTCGATTGATTGACATTGCAAAGACAACCGCTATATCCACACGCTTCACTTCGCCCACATCGGCCCACATGAATGGTCCTTGCCTGCCAGGTCACTCGACAGGAGATCAAGCAGCTTAGTGCCCAAATGGCTGGACTAATGAACTTCCTTGGCGTGGATCGGGCTGCCTCCGCAAAAAGTGGGTGCGTACCATGCACTGTCTTCCAACTTGGACGGTTCAAACGGGATGGCTTGAGGTGCGCGGTCAGGACATAACTAAGTTGCAGCTTACCGATGTGGACTGGTTTGAGGCCATTGGCGTCCTCAGGGAGTGAGGATTCCAATCGGACTTACGGCCAAAGTGAATGTCAGGAAGTCCTTTCAGTCAGGTATGTCCAGGGTCCTAGCTTAGGGCCGCAAGCTCTCCTACTGACAGCGTGGCGTTTCTCTGCCGGAACCTGAAACCCCAAGAGGTCTGCTCGTAGGCCTTCTTGCAGTCGTGAAAGCGAGAGGCTCCGCCACCAACGGTGGCGGCTTTGCCAACGTTTCTTGTCCCAGTTCAGTCAGCATGCATAAGCAGTGGGCCACCAACCCCTGAGCCCTAATCCCTAAAACCCGGAATCAAATACCAAAACCCAGATCTAGAACCTCGATTCCCGAATTCGAAACCTACAAGACTCATAAAATCCTTGCAGGCTTTCCCTCAAGCTTCGAGCAGCCCCCCTTAAACCCTTGGGCCTGTCATTGAACCTGAGGGTGAGAGTCGGGCTTTTTGAGAAGCTGAGCCGTTGTGCAGGGCCACATCAGCAAGCCATCCGAGAACGTCATCTTTTCAGTCTCGTGTTGCCCCGTCTCTACACCAAGTCCAAACCTCACCTCTCGCCTTCCTTTACAACATCCCTGGCGACAACCACCTCATTGAACCTCCTTTCGTAATTATGCAACATATACATGCGGCTGCCTCCAAGTCCGTTTCCGGAGTGATCGCTCGTCGGTTTGCCTTGACTGGTACTGTCTTCAATTGATTGTTCTAGGATGTGCAGGCTTGGTTAAAGGACTGTGGGTTTATGCAAGCTTCCCACGTCCAGCGAACCGGGGCCACCACCTGGGTGTTCCGAGCGTTCTCAGCCTCCCCACATTGTCGTGTTGCCCTGCCGCAGCCGGACCCGCCACTGTTGCCGGTGCACGTTGGGATGCGTCTGCCTCCACGAAGCAAGCGCCACCTCCGGCGCCTTTGAACACTCAACCTGTCTCAGCCTGCTGTGTTCTGAGCCCCAGGATGCGGATATGGGTGCACAAATTGACTTCATCCTGACCGCGGCCGGTCGCGTTCCCCTTAAGGGCCAGCCGCAAAGTGCAACGACGGATCCTCTGACCCGCGCCTGTCCCCTCACACATTCCCGACAGCGAACTTTTCGAGACTGTTGAGTGCGGGGGAAGGGGGCTTGCGCCTTCCTTGCATTGCGCACTGCCTTGCCGATGTGGTCTGGTTTCGGCTTTCACTACCAGTGGTTGCGGCCTCGGGGAGCCGATAAAGTGCTCAACAGTGCCCTCTCGAACGAGTCCTCACTGCGCAACTGTTGGAGCCGCAGCCGCCTTGGCTGGCGCTGGCCCCCCTTCCGTCCACGCTGCGTCTTCGTGCGCAAAGCTGCTTGGCGCTCACGCTTCGTGGAGCGCGTGCTTGGCCTCAAACGGTGGCCCGAGAGTTCGACTAATTACGCCTGGTCGTTGCTGCATGTCTGAGAACGGGAGCAGGTCCTTTCTGTAGTGTGAGGGTAGTCAATTACGGGCTTAGTGACTACGCAGCTTGTCGGTGGGTGCTTAGGAAGATTGTGTCTATTCCTGTTGATGAGGCCAAGGATTAGGTCGGCTCTGTGGTTGGAATGTGGTGGAGCTACCCCGTCTGGCTTCCTGTCCATGGCTCTGAAGACTGGACATGACTGGACTCGGGGGAATCCTATGGCCTGCTGTTGTTAGCAATTCGTGCGTGTACGAGTTATAATGGGTCCTGTTCAGAGGTCTTGAGGCTACGCAATGGGAGCTGGTTATCTGGGCACGACTTCTGGAGGGCGTGAGGTATTGCGGCGCCAGGTTTTTGGGTTGGCAAGGGTTGCGTACCCGGAGGCAGGAGGCCGTCCAAGTGCCTCGTTGTATCTAGGAATTCTGTCTGCGCTGACCATGCAGACGAAAAAAGGATCGCGACAAAAAAGGAAAAGAAAAACTGAGCCCTTGATCACCTAAAACCCTAAAACCCCTAAACCCTAAATCCGGGACGTTTCAACAATCCCCAAACCCCTCCCTAAAACCTTAGCCCTAACCGCTAGGTCCTACGCGCCGCACCAGGGCCCCAGAGCTCTGGAAGCTGTGCTCTTGGCAGTCGCCTCCGGGAGGTGCGGCGGGGCAGACCTTTCTGTTGATCCTTTAGGGTTTAGGGTGTAGGGTTTAGGGTTCGGGGTTTAGGGTTTCGGGGTTCAGGTTTGGGGTTTAGGGTTTGAAGCGGGTGCGGGATGATACAAGGTAAGAGCGGGAATAGTACGATAAGAGTCTGGTGGAGCTGTCATTGAGTAAAAGTATATTGTATCAGAGTGATCTAACATAATGCATTGTAGCCTGTTGCTAGGACATGCGATCAGGTACTTGGGAAGCCAAAAAATTGTGGAAGATGCCTGCATTTGTGAACTACATGCGCTCGCGTAGATTCCAATACTGTCGATGTGTTTAGCATTGGCAGTATCGGTGCACTCTCATTCACCAAATCATGCTCCCTCGTTAGATCGTCGTGTCGTTCTTTCTGATACACGGTGTTGGGGATATTGGTCCTCTGCCCTCACGATCGACGAATTGCACTTGCTGAGGCGATTACTTCGTGTGTGTTTTTGCCTCAATGCTGCCAACTTCTTGATGTTTTGCAGTTTACAAAACGATGCAATGCTTATGGTGAAGTCTATATTAGGACATCAGAACATATTCGTGCACCCTGTGATGGCCCCAAGACCCGACACCTGAAACCAGAATCTCGGTGAAGCTTTAAAGGAAGCACCTGCAAAACACTGAATTTCCTATTCCTGTCAACTCCCTCAAGCCTAAACCCTGAATGCCCACACCCCAAGCTTTCTTCTAGGCCTTGAGCAACAACCTGGTGCCCTTGGTGCTGGCGGAAAGTTCTTCAGCATCATCGGCACTGGAAAGTTTCCTAGCATCAGGCTCGGGGTGCCTGGGGGCGGTGGGTTGAGGGTTCAGGCCGTTCGGGGTTTAAGGCTTTGGCCTTGATGCTGTATTCTACTGCTGTTGGGGGCCAGCCGCTTCCATCAATTCGATCCTGGGTCTGTTACTACTAGTAGCACAGGGTCGGGAAGCTCAAAGCACCCGGTAGAGACTTTCCGCGAAGGGTTGCGAGCATGTTCCCACGCCGGTAAACCGCTCCTGTGAATTGATAGGGTGATAGGGCTGATAGGGCTTGTTGCTTGTTTCACATGCGGTCATGCCCCAGATAGCCGCAGTACCCTTGCTCGGTTTCCCTACGCAGGCTTGTGACACTCTGGAGCATGTCATGTGGAGTGTGGGCACAGAGACAGACTAGAGCTGCTTTGTTCTTTGCCAGGTGCTGTCGACGATCCTGCCGTGCAATGTGTCAGCCTGCGACTTTGCGCTCTGGAGCAGAAGCGGCAGCGTGAAGCTTGGCACAGGAAACATATATATGCCTCCCGCTTTCGAGGTAGGTAGCAGTCCATTCATGGGGCGTGCATGGCTTTTGCGCATTGGTAGAGAACGATTAAGCAAATGTCATTTGGCGTGCTTTGCACATAGTTTATCACTTTGCAGCGGCCTTTTGCATAGCGCGGACAAATTCAGACAGTGCTAGTGAAACAAGGACTTTCCATCGAGAAAGCAGAAGCACGGAAAACAGCAGACAACTGAGGACTTCAAGCGATTCTTCCGGAATGCACTGAAGTCTGCGATCTTGTCAGGAAGCTTCTTCACGCTACCAGGACGCACTGTGTCCACAACACATCTGAAAAAGCAACGAGCGCAAGCTGAACAAGAGAGCAATCTCAGTCGAGGACTTCTTCGACGATGAAGTTGACAAACATGGTGCTAGAGAGTTGGCAAACAAGAGACCTGTATCGTCGTTTGCTTATCAGAATGATGGACATGACAATGGTGGTGGCCACGGTGCATGTTGCTATGCTTGTGTTTGTGTGACGGCTCATGCTCGTAGTTCCATGTGTCTATGTGTTCAGCATGTGTTCTTGTCATGTCCTGCCATAAGTTTTCAAGCCACAGCTTCTCTTGCAATGAATTTGTCGAGGCTCGTCTTCGAAGATGACGATGGGGCTGCTGGCATTGCCGAGGATGCATGGCTTCAGCGCGCAGCATCCATGCAGAACCTGGAGGCTCTTTTGAAGAAAGGTTTGCAGCACTCAGAGGTTCTATACGGAAGTATTTCAGTGTGTATGTCTGCATATGTATGGACGGATGCATGGATGCATGGTTGGGTTGCATTGGGTTGAGTTTGGTTTGCTTTGCTTTGGTTGGTTGGTTGGTTGGTTGGTTCGTTGCTTGCTTGCTTGCTTGCTTGGTCGGTTGGTTGGTTGGTTAGTTGGTTGCTTGGTTAGTTTTTGTGTGTTTTTGTGGGTTGGTTGTTTGTGTTTCGCGGGTTCGGTGGTTGAGTGGGTGGGTGGGCGAGCGGGGCGGGCGGGCGAGCTAGTTGTTTGTTGCCGTGGTTCTCGTTTGTTTTTGTGTTTGATTGTTCGTTCGCTGGTTGGTCGGTTGGCTGCTTGGTTGGTTTGTTTGTGTGTTCGTGTGTTGTTCTTGTTATCGTCTCTTCTGCCATGTCAGTTCATGTCATGTCGTGCGCCGCTGTGATGTATGTAAACATGTGTGTGTGTGTGCGGGTTTTGTTTGTCAGGTTTGTGTTCCCAGCAATATATGTGCATGTGTTTCTATATACGTATGTATGTATGTATGTATGTATGCATAGGTACAGCAGCACCTGTTTCTCATGCATGCGTGGTGTGAATGCCAGAAAAGCTTTTTGGGCCGCAGTTTCCTGAGGCCGTCCCTGAGGAGTGGGCACTCTCCTCATTCTTCAGCAGCACCTCAGCTTTGCTTTGCGGCTTTTGGGGGGTTGAGGGTGCTTTCCTTTGTGACATCTGTTTGTTGGGGTCTGGTGATTCGGGTCTTGTACCGTTCTGTCAGTTACGAAGATGTGGTTTTGGGATAAAGCATGAGGATTTCGGATTTCCGTTGTAGAATCAAACAGGAGGAATGATGACAAGCTGCAATTAGGTTCGGCGGTTGCCCTGCGAAGGGAAGGGGACTCTTCCCCCCAAGACCTATGACATGAGAACAGGCTCTTCGCTTCCGCCTGAGATCTTCTTGCCGCTTACGTTCAACGCACGCGGCAAGGCGAAGTCATCGATCCACCGTCAGTCAGCGTTCCCGGGTCGTTCTGCTACGTTCTTATCAAAGAGATGTTGGTACGAGGAATATTGGGGGGTGCGCACAGGGTATAATGTTGCGGCTCGTTTAATGGA